TCTAACCATACAATTTTTTTTCAAAAATATTAGGGAATGAAAAATGGTCTTACCGCCACTCGTCCTTTAAATATGATTATAATATATTTGATATAGTTAAACCATCTCGTTGATAAAGATATTCAAATATTCATAATAGTGTTTTCGATAATGTACAACATGATATTATTTGATCTCTTTCACAACTAAGAAATGATTTTTTTTTTGAAATATATTTACATAAATTATTTCTGATATAAATATTATAAAACGTAATAAATCACGTATATCACCTGTTGAAAATTGACATGTTAATTCAACATGATTTTGTATTTTATCAAAATATATTGATATAGAATCTATGAATGCAATTGAATACGGTTGATTATTAGAAGCATGATAAAAGACTTTTTTATAAATTGTATTAGGTGTTGGTTCAATGTCATTTTAATTTGTTTCATTTAACATAACTATACAAAATCCTAGGAAACCAAACAAAGAACAGATTTATATTGTTTCGTATTTTCTCAAATCAATTTTCATTTACTATAAGAATCATCCTAAAAATTTAATGCTGTGGAAAAAATCCAATTCGTTTTCGGAGTTCACGAGTTCAAAATTATAGAAAGTTTATCGAAATTCTCGAATGCAATTTATTTCGAAATATAATATTAGAAAGACGTCGTTTTCTTTAATTGTAACAGTACAAATAGCACGACTGAGAACTTGATCAATAAGATTCGAGAGGAATTATTCGGTCATTGTACTAATGTAGCTTAAATGCTTTCCTTTACGATTTGTATTACCTGAAATTCTGCATATTTTCTATTTCAAAATATTTTTCGAAGTTTTGAATTATTCAAAAGTATCATCTATTACTAGCATATAAACAATGTCAAAGTAAAAACAAAAAAATTTCTTTTAATTGGATTAAAATTTTTATTATACATATTTATTTATTTATTTAGATAAATTAAACTAAAATATACCGGTGACATCATAAATGGTAATCATTTTTTATAAGTTAGATTTTTAAGTATTTGTTCATAAATTTTTCTTGTTATATCTATAGGACAATTAAGATTATTAAAATCTTCTTTAATAATATCGATTGATATTGTTATTGATAATATTTATAAAATTTATGGTATATATTTAGGTCATAATTGTTTATTTAATGGTAATGGAAGAAATTGTTCAATTAATAAAACTAATATAAGACCACTTTCATATAAATGTATTCCTTCACAAACGAATAAATGACTTGCAACTGATGTATGATGTATAAGATAAAATAAAAAATAATAATAATAATTGATAATGTGTTGTTATTGCTGTAAAATGTTCAACATATAATTTATGATGATATATTAAATCACAATAAGATTGTAATTGACCACTGATAGATAAATTTATTCTTGATGATGATGGTGTTAATGTCGGTGACCAGCCTGCTTCTTGTGTATAATCAAGCATATTCAGAATATGTATCCATTGTAATAATAATGAGATATAAAATGATGATCATAATAATTTAAAACATTCATTTAAAATAGTTAAATATGAAAATGTCTCAAGACAATGTAGAGTTTCATCATGAATTCATAATCGATGAAAATCATTTACAATTGTTCGAAATTGTTTAACTAAAATAAAATCATAGATCTTATATAAGCATAGGAATTTTAAAGTCAAATGTTTTTCGCTAGGTCATTAGTAATTAATGAATTGCAGGAAAGTTTTATCTTCAAATTAATGGGTGATATGTACATAAAGATAATCGGATGCAAGAGAACCTAATGTCATATTGATTTGACCACATAATTGTCGAGTATTAGTTAAAATTCATAATATTATATCATGTAAAACACGAAGAAAAGCTCTGAAAACAAAAACGAGAATAAAAGTTTTTAAATTATAAATAAAATCATTTCGAATATTTACGCACTAAAAGTTTCATCTCGTGTTCCATTAACTGATAATAAAACATCATTCTATCGTGTTAATATAGCATCTTCAGTTAAATTTTGTACAAGATATCGAAGTATTATATTTATATTGATTAACTATCGATTTGTAGATTGACAATTGACATTCTAAAAACAATTTTGAACTACAGGAAAATTTTATAAATAAAAACAACGAATATTTCTATTTACTAATGCTCGAAAAGCAATAACAAATGGATCAATTGATCGTAATGCAACTGATGACACAACATCAAATAGTGTTAATTGTGTGGAATAAATATCCAAAAGTGATTGATTCTATTTGAACAAAAAAATAACCTGAGATAAACCAATAGTAACATGTGATTGTAAATGAACAAGAAGTAAATCGACAATTTGTCGTGAAAGACGTTCCCATTTATCATCTTCAATTTGAACACTATTAACAATAACTGTGAACAATCGTAAAGCCTATAACAATATAAATTCTATTATTATTTTTTCAGTACATACACATGATATGAAAAGATACTTTTACTTATAATAATTCAGGTTCCTAGTTTTCCTTCAAACTCAAATACATAACAACAAGATGATTATTTTCAGATCATCAATTCGTTGAAGTGTGGGTGTGTGTTCAATCGAGGAGAAAAATTACATATACACACCCACACTCACAACTTCTCGAGTTTCTAAGATATTTGAGACCTATATTGAGGGATACCTTTTGTTCACTCTCATTTAATAAAACTTTTTAGGAATTTTAATTATTCGCATAACTCGAACAAGAAAAAAAATCATATAAAAGTGGTTCTAATGCTGTCAAAGCTAAATAAAGAATTCTAACAATAATTTCTTTTTCTCGAAAAAGTTATTTTTTACTTCCTACCATGTGTTTCAGGTTCATGTCCTCTTGCTAATAATGAATCATAATGCTTTATTAAATCTTGTACTTTAATAACTTGTTTTGAATGAAGTGTTTCATGTGATAACATAACAAGAAATTCAGCAATACAATAAATAAAATGCTATTTAAAAATAAACGAAACGATTAGAAATGCAACGAATTTCATCAGCTTCTAATTAACCATAATTAACACGAATTAAAAGTAATTGAACAAGTAAATCGAGTACAGCAGCTTGAAAATCACTTTCATTTGTATATTAATATATTTTTTAAGATTAATTTTCTTTTAGTTCAATAAAAACTATAAAATAGAAAACAAAAAAACAGAATAGATCAAATTCGTTTTTTTGTTCATTTTACTCTCGTATTGCACTATTTATACTTGATGCATAACGTGAACCAAATAAAATAAATTATCGGTTGTCGAATACTTATTGTATAAATATAAGTTAAAGAATTATTTAATGATACTTGTGAAGAAACATTTGAAGATTTAATAAAAACTAAATTAAAAGAATATTTTTAAATGAATGTTGTGGTAACAGAAAAAATGATTTTCAAATTTCGAATTGATAGCATTTCTTGCAGATCGCTCACGTAAACTAGATGATTTAATATTCGATTTTCAAGATAGAATCGAATCAAAAGATCTGGCACTTTCACAACAAAACTACTCTTGTTAAGATCGTCGATATTCGTAAAATCAGTTTTTCTGTTACTATGACATCTTATATTGAAATTTTCCTTTTCTAGGAAAGACCCTTCCAGAAACCTTCACTATAAGATTTCCATCTAAAGTTTTATCCATAGATAAGTTTCAGACACAATACAACATCCTAAGGGTTTTAGCTTAAACGATAAATATTTACTATTTAAAAGAAGTTACCTTTTGTGTACATTGAATGTTGATTTAAAATAATTAAGTGTTTCTTCCAAATTTTTCTGATAAATCTTGTGGAGAAATAAGACTTAGAACTGATTTCATAGATAATAATGATCATTTCTGATGAATTTAATAAACTTTTATGTAATTGATAAGATGAACGTATTAATTCGAATAATTTCCAAAGTACCTAATTGTGTACAATTAACTTTTTTATCTTTGTCTGCGCTTGATGTTGTTGATGAATCTTTATTATTCTCTTTAAAAAGAAAAACAAATGAATTCGTTCAGACGAAACATGATTACATATATTCTTCAAATCTAACACTTTGGAACTCCTTTCTTCTGTGAAAACTGAAATATTAACTATATTCTGTTCAAAAGAATGATGATTGTGCATATTTTTGCAATAGTTCGAGAACGGTAATAAAATAGTTCAATTTTCGAATTACTTGAATCATTTGTGCTACTTTCAAAACATTTTTTCATTTGTTGAGATTTGATAAATCTTCAAATAAAAAGAAAGAATTCAAAAAAAAACATAATTGATATCTTTTTTTTCCTCTTTACTTGAAAAGATTAAATTATTAAGATCATGTAATATAAAGG